AGTCTGTCAGAAAGCCCATACTACGCTTTGCTTGTTGAACACCCTTCCACCATGCTTTGTCTGGCCTGTCAGCCACCTTTTCAGGATGAACCCAACCAGTCGCCGCCACGTGTCTCAGCAGAGGGTTAACCCCAGAACCGGGTATAGAAAACTATCATTTGGTATCATAAACTTGCCTTGTAGAGAGAAGAGAAGCTCTAGAAGAGGGAGAAGAGTTCTTGAGAGAGAAGTAGATCTTCAAGCTTGATTCCTAGAGATCGAACCGTTAGAATCCGCGTTCTAAGGTTAGATTCTTGATCTGCTCATGATGTTCTTTATGTTTATGTTATTGCATTGCATGATTGAAAATGATTTGTAAGCCATGCATCGTTTTGAAGCTCGATTTTAGAAAGAGGAAAATGACATTCATGTGTTCTTCAAGAAAAGTCTTGTTTGATCCGAAAGCTTGCAAAAGAATCATGTTTGTGTTTATTTCCGCAAGGATTTCAAGTACGGGTACCCAGGTCCATGTTTTCAAACTCATAGCACGAAAATCCCAGATTTGTGATGGTAGATTATGATCAAACATTCGTATTTTTCATTTTTCACACTCATGTTTTTCATGTTCATCAACAGAGGGAAACCCAGAGTTTCCCGACCTCTTTCCTTGCATGTGGCCCTCGGGAACACACCTCGGCGAGGAGGTGTGGAACCTCGGCCTAGACCTGGTTGGTGCCCAGCATATTTTCCGAAACATTTGTGTACATGAGAGACTTGTTTGAAAGCGCATTCAATAGGCTTTGCCATGTGTTGTAGGACTTGGGCTTGTCTCGACCCCGACGTGTGAAGAAACGTATGGAGTTTCAATACTGATTACACTCGTTTTAGTGCACTTCTTTTAATGATTGATTTGAAAGACATTGATTTCATAAAGACTCTCTCTACATTTTGTATATCAATTATGATTTTGATGCTTGTCTTGACAGTCCTTAGTGCTAGGGGACTCTAAACTTTGCAAAGGACAGTCCATTTAGTGCTAGGGGGATCCAAACTTCGCTTTCTGTTGATGACAGTAGTTGACAGTCCTTAGTGCTAGGGGACTCTAAACTTCGCCCAGCACAGCTCTTTCGTCTTGTCCTTGGGTGGGTTGGACTGAGCGAGTCCTCTTTAGTGCCTTAGTGGGTCATCTTAAACTTCGCTATAGCACAGCTGTCTTGACGGAGTCCATAGTGCTAGGGGCTCTAACACAACTTGTTCGAATTGCACACATATATGTCTTAGCATTCAGTCCTTAATTGTACGTGTCTGATATCAGTTCGACTTAGTCTTGCAGTCGGGACTCCATTGTATAATGCAACTGCACTCTTGTCTTGATTAGTGGAAAAATAATATGATCAAATTCACCAGAGCCTCGTGTATTCAGTAAAGAAGAGTAAGATAGTCTTATTTTAAGTTTCGACTTGGGCTTGTCATCGACCCCGACGTGTGAAGAAACGATGTGAGTGGTATTTCTAATTAAGCTATGTTACACTCGTTTTGATAAATTTTGCTTTGCCTTGTCTTGAAAAGTACTTGATTTAGCATGAATGACTATCCCTATTTTGTATATCAAATGCTATCTTGTTTTGATGACTTGTCTTGACAGTCCTTAGTGCTAGGGGACTCTAAACTTTCGCAGCACAGCTTGTCTTGACAGTCCTTAGTGCTAGGGACTCTAAACTTTCGCAGCACAGCTTGTCTTGACAGTCCTTAGTGCTAGGGGACTCTAAACTTTCGCAGCACAGCTGTCTTGAAAGTCCTTAGTTGCAGGGGACTTATAATGCAAAACTTTTGCCAACTTCTTTTGGTTCTTTTAAGCGGGGGGGGGAATTTTGGTTTCAAATGCACCCTTTCTTTTTGTATTAAGTAAATGCTAATAACATCCAAGGAACTTGAAAGCCGGCAAATGAACTTGCTTTTTCCTCTTGATTGTAAAGTATGCTATGTATTGTTTTGAAAGAAATCTTGGATATCAATCATGCAAACCTTTATTTCTAATATCATTCACTGAGTATCCAAGCTCACCCTCTCTATATATATATGTAGGTGATGAACAAGAAGGCATTGAGGCCTAGACGTGATTGCCGACGTGTTTTGGGCGCTTAGCCGACATGTTTTGGATTTGTGTTTTGCATCGTCTTGAAGATCATGCTTCTCGGCTTATTTTTCATTTGCACTTGTATATGTCGGCTTGAGAAGCCTTTTGGTCAAGATGTGTTTTGTATTTCATTTCATTCTCGTATTTCAGTTGTAAGACTTGTAAAGATGTTTGATGTATGACATTCTGCTAGACTTACGCACGGCTCTCATGGACTATTTAGATTTTGTATATGTATATATATTGCTTCCGCACTTGTGAGCCCCAGATTTTATACTCTGATTGTGTGTGATTCTTGTAAGACGGCCTTCGGTAACCTCGGGTTACTGGCCATCACGGCACCAAACTACTAGGGGCGGTTTGGGGGCGTGACAAACTGTTAGTTTTTGAATTATGTATTGTCCAACTAAGTGTTTTTACATTGCGACTCTGAGAGTAATGTTTTGGTTGCGGCAGAGGCACTCGTAATATGTATATCTGATATTTTACATTAAGCTGGTCGATTTTCTTCCCCTCTTTGGCTGTCTATTTCTCATGTTCTATTTAACAATTATATACCAAATCGGTGGATTTTCTTTCCCTCTTTGGAAGCAGTGTAATGAGCCACGAACAGCTGAAGCCTCATACCAGCAGATGTGGCATCATCAAATCCTACAACAGTGGGGAAGAAAGGGGAGGCAGGTTAGTTTTTCTGATGCTTTCACTTGGCGTGCATTAGGATCATGTGTAGGAGATTTGCTAAGTTGACATTTCATCAGGTCCCACCAATGTCTTGGTTGTCCATGGGTTGGATGAAAATGCTGATGAAGAAATGCTTCGTTATGAGTTTTACAAACATGCTCCAATTAAGGTAAAACATGCTGGATTTGTTATATAGGGTACTGAAATGTAAATAAAAACTGAAAGTCCATAACGGCTAAGGGACGATAGATATATAAATATGTATTGTTTACTTATATATAAGGTACTGAAATGTAAAATGACTATGCTGTGTTTCATTCAAATCTGCTGAAGTTATACACATTTTAAAACTGCAGGATCTTCGTCTGGTTAGCGACAAATTTACTCATGTTCCAAGGGGATTTGCTTTTTTACATTTTCATACAGTATGTGTATTTTTAGGCCAAGTTTGGCATAACCTAAATAATACAAAAAGTCAAAAAGTCACTATCCTATTTAAGTCACATCATCTTATTTAAATCACATCACCTCTCTAACACATCACATCAAACCTAACACAAACCCAACCCATATAAGCCAATAAGTCAAAAAGTGCACTTTTTTAGAACATCCCAAACCAACCCTTAGTTGTTGATTCAATTGAATGCTGACCTGAGTAAATGTATTTGTACCCATTAGTTTATGGTTGATGTATAAATACGTGTCACGGTGGCAACCAGAGATTGGGATGGAATTCTACCAATTTTTGGATTAACATCAATCAGTGCATGCTTCAAACTTCCTAGATAACTTAATTTATCCCTGGTAGACTTGTCTATAGACTATAGATCACTTTGATAAGTTTTCATTTTTATTGCATGAGGTAGATTTAGGCCTTGTTTGGGAACAAGGCTATTTTAGTAACTTTTTTGTTTTTTGGCTAAAATATGAGATAAAAAAAAATTAGTATGTTTAGAATGACTTATGATTTTTTACGAAAAAATGTGCAAAATGTAGAGAAGAACAAGAATCTTTGACATTTTGGTATAGGTTAGAGGCTTTTTAGATTTTTTAGTAACTTTTTGGCTTTGAAGCTAAAAGTGTTGCATGCCAAACGATGCCTTATTTTACTAGTACAAAAACAAGGGTGCCATCCCATTATAGATGCACATGCCAAACAAAATAAAATTGACAGCCCTTACAATCCTATGCATGCCAAATGTGTAGCCTGCCCCGTACAAGTATATCGAATTCATCATGAAGTTTCTACATGCTCTTCAAATTTTAAATGGCCCAACGGAATGATCATCCTAACATTAAGATCCCCTCAACTATTAACAAATATCACCTTACCGCTTATCTATAAATTCATACATTTTGACCCCCTTAACTATGAAAACTATACAAATAATGTTTAATTGAGATTAATCTTTTATAATTTTTTTGGTTCAATTGGCCTCTATTAAGTAATATTTAATAATTTTTTGGCTCAATGGTAACTTAGGAAGAAGCATTCTGAATGCTCATGATTGCTTCCAAAGACACGCACAGGTTTTTGCACACATGCACACATTCTACCTGGCTGGTCCTCTTTTCTTATTTTATTCTTTTTGTATTGGTTAGATGCAATTAGTCTGTATTGTTGACGAACCTGATTGAATAAATAAATTCCCTCCTTTCAATCCTTGTAGTATGACTCTGTTGGATGGGTACCAAAGGAATATAATCCAGACAACAAGCGGCCCACTGGTGGGCAGGAGCCAAGTGGTGGAGAGGTTGCAGGTCCAAAGGATGCTTCTTCTTTACAATCTGGCTTTGTTTGTGATGAAGCATCTGGCTATTATTACAATGCTTCTTCTGGATTCTATTATGATGGAAATACAGGTTTTTATTTATTTGGAAGCTGCCTTTTAGTTGTTTTCCTCATTGTTATTGTAAAAGCTGTCTCTTGATTTTATGTTTATGCATAATATAGGCAAATGTTGCAAGTGTTGTATCATGTGGGCCATAGCCCCAATGGTATCAATGTTGTCGTCTATAAGTGAACGTTCTGATATATGTTGCTCATACTGGTGTGGCATCCTAAATCTTTAACAATCTTATTTAGTGTGCATCAAATAATTAGTTTCATTAATCATTGGTCTTGTGGTGGCATTCAATTTTTAAAGGGCCTGTGGTTTGGATTTCTGCTGTCAACTGACCTTTGCATTTTGACAGCATTTCTATTTTGGAGGTTTATGGTTGGCTTGCATTGCTCTACATTTGTTGATGGTTTTCACTTTGGATTACTTTAAGAAAATATAATATTAGTAATAGTTACATGGTTTTTTATATTTAAAACTTTGAGCAGAGCCCCAATATTTGTACACTATTGAGAGAGATGAGAGGAGAGACATCACTCAATAGAATTGTACAACTTTGGGAGCAGTATTTGTTGGGTGCTGTGCTGCTAAGAAACCTATCCAATTTACTAATGGGGGATCTTTCTTCCAAATTTTGAGGTTTGCAGAGGGTTTATTTGTGGAGATATACAAAAGTTTTCATGAGGAATATTTCTTGAAAATGATTAATATTTTTGTTTTATAAAAAATATTTACTCCGACCAGTTTCTTCTTGTGCATTTAATATAGGTTCATTCACAAATGTCATTTCTCATAAACATATGGAGTAATGGCCTTGAGAAGCCTTAAACCCCCCAACTCCGCGATATTGTCATAAACAGAGTGAAAGGATGATATTTTATATTGGCATTCACAACTTCTTAGATAGAAATTGTCATTATTGTTTTGATTTCAACCTCTTCTTGTTGTTTTATAATTGTGAGAAAACTTGTGAAATATTTGTACATCTTCATATTCTGTTTTATACTCTGAAAATTCACAAACAATACTAATCAATAAAGGCATGGTTTGTTAGTTAAAATTGTGTTAGTGGTAAACAAATATGTAACATAAAGTATTTATCTCTTTCTTTCATTTTTAATGCCATGATCAGATAAGACTAAAGTTATGCTAGTCTTAACGAGTCAAATAAATTATAAATTCATACTTGTGTATGAGATTAAAATTACAATTGAAACTTTGATTATACAATTATATATATAATATATATACATATACTAAAAAAAAATCAATATCTTATCAAAATAATAATATCTACCACTATTATTATATAATTGTGTTGTCTATGGCTAGTTATTATTTATATATAAATAAATTTAGTTATTATTTACGTTTATATTATTTAAATATATAAATAACATATTTATTTTTTTTTATATACATATTTATCCAAAACACCACCGTTGGATCTTTGCATAATCCAACGGTTGAGATCAAAACTCTGGAATGTTCTGTTATGATCATACCAAATCATTCTCAGTCGGCTCTCTCTCTCTCTAATAAGCTTGTTTTCCATTAATGAAGAAAACAAAACAAGTTATTTTCCACCTTTTAAAAGTGGAAATCATTATTATTCCTAATAAACTTGTTTTTCATTAATCACAGAAAACTTTTTCTGTTGAATTTCGTCTTCTAACGTACCAAATGCCAAAAAATGAGAAAAACGTTTTCCAGATTTCCATTGAAACAAACGGAGCATTATTTTATTTTATTTGTCGTGAGCTGATTCTCGTCATTCTTTATTGAAATTAGAATAGTTAAAGAAATTATGAACTATATGGACTTGTATTGTATTTCTATTTGTCAAAATTATTTAACCACTGTTGTTCTGCGCCTTGTAGGGTTTGAAAAGGGAATGTTTAAAAGGATGAATGAGAAATAGGCTACGGAAAGAGAAGCGTATCTTTGGTCTGTCTCTGATATGTGAAGTGTACACCAAAGAAGACGACACAAACTTTGTTTTACTATTGCTAGGATGGTTCACAGAGTTGACCCTAACATGTCTAGTGGTGTTTGTCTGAGCTTCACAAAAAATAAACTTTTTGATTGAATTAGTCAAAAATTTACTTGTCACCAACTTAAAAAGTTAAAAAGAAAACTTAATTTTTTCACTCACAATAACTACTTGTTTTACAATTTTTCAAATTAGCTTTTCAAACTTCTTGTGAAGTTTTTTTTTAAAAAAAATCTTTAAAAAATAGCCAACGCCAAATAATCTTTTGGATGTTCAAATGACAGCAATAATTTAAGCATTTATTATTACATTTTCTTATTCTATTAGTCAACAATAAAATGATTACAATCAAGAACCTTGTCAATGCATATCCTAATTTCTGAACAGAATGAATAGAGACAAAACCTATGAAACGAAACATATTACATACCCAAGCCCCAAGGGGTTTATTTCAAAATGGTATGAATGCAATCAATGAACATCAGAGTTGCAGTGGTGTTAGGCGATTAGTTCACTTGTACTCCTGAATCATAAGTATTGCCAGGCTTCCAATCTTGGGGTATGTTATTAACCGGAATAACCCAATTCTCACCATCATCATCACTAAATAGCATCCTTAATGACAATGGCCCACTTGGGGGTGAAGTGGTAGAAAACACTGCTCCATAGCTCCTATCCAATAGCTTGCACGCATAATTTTGTGTCTGCAAATTTTGAATAGTCTGTCAGATGCTTTGAAAAAACAATAAAAGATGCAATGGAACAGACAGGCTACTATTAATTTTTCAATAATGTCATTTGCTCATAAATAACATATGCACTTGTGCATAGAAAACTCAAGTCGTGATCTAGATTCATTTCAAGTGTTTATCTGTTGTTTTTCTCATTAGTTGTAGTAAAATTAATTATCTCCCTTCATACTGTACATGCGACTATCATCGAATATAGTTTTTTTTCATAATTTTGTATGTCTATAAAATTGGGTATGGAATCAAATTGAACCAAATTAAGTATTGGAAGAATCGGAAATATGTAGACATACCTCACATAGCTGGACAGCAGTGATGTCCTGTTTGCCTTGTTGATACCAAATGACAAAAGCCAGGTAGTTAGGATAGTTGCTGTTCTCATCTATCTTTATTGTCATATTTTTGCCTGGGTAGCTACATGACACACTATATGAGACAGAGACAGAAACAGAGTATTAGTAATCATCATTAGAATAATATTATACCAATAGAAGAAATATATATAAATTAATGCAATGATGTGGCCAAATTTAAACCTATCTTTTTAAAATAAAGAACCCACAAAGGCTATTATTTATGTATTGGGTAGGAATATTTTACCGTCGATATTCAATATCAACCACACCAAGGGCTAGAAGAGATGAGGCTGCATCTGTGGTCTGAGCCATCTCACCAAAGGCTTTCCTGCTTAGTATGAAGTCGGTTCGATCACTAGAACCATTGTCTGTTATGACTACATTCACTCCTTTGTCTGAGCAATAGTTACTGTTGGTGCACCTCACCTAGTAGTCAAACAAATTTTAACTTCATCATTGAGAAATATATCACACAATCAACTAAAAGCATAATTCTGTTTTGCTTAGTGGGTTATCCTTTTTCTTTTCTTTTTTGTTTTTGTTTTGAACGTAGAACTTGTATGAAAGACTATATTTCTGAAATAACTTTTTGTTTTTAGTTTATAGGAAAACGCACAAAACTTTGTTTGATGATCTATTTCTGAGAAATTTTCTAAAACTCACAAAATTGAAAAAATACCATAGCAGAGAAAGTATTTGGTGTAAAGGATATATCATGGTGATATACACTTTCTATCCATGTATGTAGTGGGTCGACAAAGAGAGAAAAATGCGTTAAAGTGATGTATCCGTCACACAAAATATGACCTCATAAAAATAACGAGTGTTTTCGAAATTTGCATTATTGTTCTTCAAAAAACATGAAAAACAAAAGCGAAGAAAACAAAACATGTTTTCAGCCTTGTTTTCCTCCAACAATCAGAGTAATCACCTGGTAGCAAGCACCACAGCCTAGACCGGCACGATAGAGATCAGATGCAGCTGATACATCCCCACCATTAAGTGTTGCTCCAAAGGTACCAAATCCACATGCCCCAGCTGCAAATTAAATCAAACACATCAACACAGTAGCAGATTAACACAACTATATATTCAAGTAGACACTCGCCTTAAATCTGACTGATATGCCAAGCACTAACTGGTCAATATTAAAATAGGCCAATGACATTGGCTAATCAATACTTAACACGTCAGTTGAATTCAAGTCAATTGTCGACTTGTATATCATTTTCCATAACATTTAACAGTAAATAAAAGTCGATATGAACAGTCATGTACATATATAGAGTTCGAACTCTCACTTTCTGTTCCTTGTTCATCAGAATTCGGATAATAAGCGGCACGAGAATGAGTGAAACAGTCACTGCATGTTGCCGCATCTCCCAGAGTTTGCATAAGAAGAAAAGTTACTAACGAAATCAAAATATACAAATGAGGAGTGGCCATTGTAGAATACAAAAGAGAGAAATCAAAAGAGAAGGAAAAAGATGGTTGTGCATAAAGTGAAACATGGGTTGTGCTTTATTTATAGTGAATTTTACCAGCTGACCACCTTGAGTTTGGTAAAATCTATGACTTTGACATTCTCTGTGTAAATCCATTTTTTTTCTTTTTAGAGTTTCTAGCAACCTTGTTAGACTAACGTCGAAAAGTGCTTTCCCTTCAATATTTTATAGTACTTTTAGTCAGTCTTTTTCTTTTTCTTTTTTTTTTTTTTTTGAACTAGTTAGTCAGTCCTTAATGTTGATGTTTTTGTACCCACTTAGGAAATTGTAATCAAATCAAAGAGTTGCAGTGTGAAATACGTCACAGATTAGTTGCTAACAAATTCAAGGTTTCATCAATTCTACTATGCATCAGCATACGCACATACTTGGAGAAAGTATTCAAAAATTAAAATGTACTGATCAAATTCGTTTTAAATGTCACTCACACTTTACCAAATTTAAATTTGCATTATACACTTTATCTTCTAAATACTTTTTTAAATATTCTTTCGCATAAATTTCACTTCCCACCCCTATATCTTACACTCAATCCCAATTTTAATTGTCTCACTTAATTCTTAAATTTCAAATCAAGTTACAATTAAGCTCAGTTATACAACGGCTTTTCAAAAATTGATAGAAAAATTTAAGTGGGATTCTCAAAAAAGTATAAGAGTGCTGCCGATTAAAGTGGAGGGACTAATATGAGTCTAATAAAAATTCAAGGGGTAAGTGTAATTAGTATTATCATGTGAATATTCTTTGTTAATTTTTAAAAATGGTGTTATAGTAAATGTAAAGTATAGGGTATATAGTGAAATTTATCTTCTTTTTATTTTTATTTTTATGATGCATAGATTTTTCTTTTTCTTTTTTCTTTTTTTTTTTTTATTGACAGGAGTCAATTTTTAATTATTAAATTAGCTCTTAGGGAGTGTTAGACCCCCAACCTTTCCCTTGCAAGCACCTGCCTTCATTATTCATGCAAGCATACTTTTTCTGAACTTCTATATATGAGTTGATTGACATTAGTGCTTTTGAACATGAATATTTCATTGAAGAAATTCTGTGGTAATTATTGATGTCTACGTACGTCAGAAGCATACTTTGGATAGGCACAACACAAGGTGGAAAAACTTTACAATATATTTTGATTCCTTGGCTAATTTGAACATGAATGAACATGCTATTGGCCTGGACCGTGCCTTGAGGTGATTGACCTAACAGGAGAGAGAGAGAGGGAGAGATTATAGTAGTTTGAAAGAGAGAATATACTATGGGGTATAGCTTGAGGTAGAAGTAAAATATTGAACGATGTGGTGAGTTAGGTGTTTTTGCACCAACTTCAGGTTAGGCATCTATTGATGTTCCCACTTGCAGTAATGATCACCTGGTTTCTGATTTGTGTTTATCATTTATATTATTTATATATGGAAGGTGTAAAGGAAAGTCCCATATCTTTGTAAACTAAACATAGTGCTCAACGACAAGCACAGGCTCCACATGCTAATTTTGTTCTGCAAAAACGATTAATTTGCAAGGTGAAATCTAAGCCGAAATCAACCGACATTGTAAGCCCGTCATTTCACTATTCCGATACAAGCTAAACACGTTAGTTAGTTTTGGCTTGAGTGTAAATAATCTCTGCTAATTTTATACATCATACATCATAATCATACTGTTTGTTTCAACATTGTAATTTTGGTTTTAAAATTCTTTGATACCATATATAAGATTTTTTTAAACTGACTGGAAATTATAATTATAATCATGAGCAGGAGAGTAAAGTAGAGCGAACACTAAAATAGACTGGCATCAAGCAACTACCGGGGCGGTGACCTAGTGGAGAACGCAGTTCTCTCCATAAGAATGACCCAGGTTCGAATCTTGAGAATGTAAAACGGTTGAATTTTTCAACTCTCTTTGAGATATCATACTATAGTCTAATTGACCTTGGACTGTTCTGTGGTTACCCGAGATTAAGCCCCACGAACGCCTATACTCTGATTGACCTTGGCTATTATGTGGTTACCTGGGAATAATACCTACAAATGTGATGATAACACCACAAACCATCATTTTTTGTTATAAAAATAAAATAAAATAAAATGAATAAAGCAAGTCCATTGAACCACCCCACATCCACATCCACATCAGCCATGACATGGAATCCATTTTTAGGGTCATGGACCCCACAATTGCCTACTGTCAAATTCTATTAGTGGTGAAGCTATAAATATATATATGGAATAATTTGTAGTCTTTTTCATTGATTATAAAAATGTTCAAAGGCAATATCTCAGTCCTCTCGGGGACCTTGATTCAAGGCGGCTGGACCCTGCTAGTCTGTGTCATGGCAGAAGTTGCTTTATGACTTGGGACAATGTTGTAAATGAATTTATATAGAAGTCAATCATTTATATCATTCATTTGTATATTGACGTGGTTAGACCTACAAAGATCATAGTTCATTATGAATAATTTAAACTCACTACTTAGAACCTAACACATAATTTAATTGATGAGATTCTAAATAGTTAGAAGTCAACATGGCACGAAGAACCAATGATATTCAGACATGTGGCAGGTAAAGGACAAACCACATCAGCAAACAAAGATCTGCAAAGTTATTGCCACTGCACATCGCCATTAATGCAGCTCATCACAACATTTATTACGACAACACCACTCCGTTGGAGCAGCACCCCCTCACCCTGAACAAGGTAAGCTACAGCATAGACTTTCGGCCAAGGTGGCAGGTCGGGAGGGACGGCGAAATGATTACTAAAGGATATAAGCAGACGTTGAAGACAAGAAGAAGGTTAAGCTTTCTATCTCCATTTCATATCTCTACATTCCACTTCTCTCTTTCTCTAACTTGCTCGTTGGAGGGTTCGCTGAGGGACTCCCCGTTCCCCTGTTGAACTTGTGTGCAGGTTCTCTGGTGGGTTTGAACACTCAGTTACCGGTTGAAGAAGCGTGAATTAGTCCGACCCTTTCCACTTGGGATCCGTTGTATCGTAACTGTAACATCAGTTAGCATCGTCTGTGGGAAAGCTTTGCTCCTCGTGCCAGTTGTGTTCACTGTCGCCAGAAACCCTGTTCTAATAACCCTTTCTCGCTACCCATCGAAGTGTATGGTCATGACTAGATCCATGGCTTCTCACCAAAATGCTGCCGACCACCAAGCCGACCCCCCCAATCCAAACAACCCACCACAATATTTCATCAAGCTTACCAACAGCATTAACCGCATGGCCGAGCAAAACCAAGCCCTGATCAATGCCCTACTCCAAAGAAACCTTCCTATGCCCCCTCCACCACCTCCCGATATTCCTCCCAACTACGAACAAGCCCCGAACCATACTATCCCGCAACCTAATCCGCCCAACAGAGAAGGCTTGCAACCCCCTCCCCCAGGTATAAACCTGTCACCCCAGGGCCCACAACCATCGATCCCGGCACCAATCCTTGAAGGAGAGGCCAGCAGCGTCCAGCCCCCGTTGCCCTCCGGAGGTGACCACATCCGTCTCTGGGACGCGAAACTCCGAGCCATGAAGCTCCAACTCCAAAGGGTCATGCAGAACATCCAGCATAAATCCTGTACCACAGCAAACTCACCATTTGTCGCCTCCATCCGCGACAAACCTCTACCCCCCAAGTTCAAGATGCCCACCATCGACTCTTTTGACGGTACAATAGACCCAGTCGACCATCTGGAGACCTACAGAACCCTCATGATCCTCCATGCATTCCCTGACGAGATCATGTATCGAGCTTTCCCCGTGACACTGAAGGGGTCAGCTCGGCTGTGGTTTAGCCAATTACCAAGAGACTCCGTCTCCACTTTCCAGCATCTCAGTGACTCCTTCCTCAGCCATTTTATTGGAGCCCAGCGCCAGCGATGCCCGGCAACCCAACTCCTCAACATTCGACAGACCGAGAGGGAGTCGTTACGTAGTTTTGTTACCCACTTCAACACCGAGGCCCTGCAAGTAGCGGAAAATGATGACAAGGTCATCCCCACTGCTTTCATGGCCGGTCTGCGGTCGTCCGACTTCATGTTCTCCCTCTCTAAAAACCCCCCGACCTCTATGGCAGCCCTACTCTCCAAAGCTCAAAAATACATGAATGTTGAGGATTCTCTAGCCGCCCGGCAAGATCCAATAACCAAAAACCTGACCCCTAGAGAAAAGAAAAAGATTCAGAACCCAGAAACACCCAATATAATAGCCAAACACCACACTATACCGACCGACCCCCCCAAGCTGACCAGTCGGCACCAGCCCGACCGCCCGATCGGTTCGAGCGGTACACACCCCTTATTCCCCCATGGAACAAGTCCTCAATCAGATCCAGCAAGACTACCTCCTTATATGGCCCCAACCTTCACGAACCCCTTCCAATCGAAAAGACCAGTCCAAATATTGCCTCTTTCACCAGGACCATGGCCATAACACCGATGAGTGCGTTAACCTCAAAGATCAGGTCGAGACCATCACACGCCAGGGACGCCTTAGCTGGTTCACGGGCACCCGCCCTTAGCAAAGGCAAAGAACTGAGCCCCTCAGAAACAACCGCCGGCACACCCCTCCCCCGGCAGCCAACCCAACCTAACCAAGGCCATGATCGCCCTCCACAGTAACCTCGGCCACCAGGCAACCCCCCCCATCTGTTGGAGAAATCAGAGTCATTTCAGGCGGCCTTGCTTGTGGGGGACCATCCCGCTCGGCTCAGAGGGCAGAACTCAGGAGGATAAGGCAGGGCTCAGACAAAGCAGTTGCCACGGTCGATCGACCCTCCAAAGAGCCCAAGCAGTGGACCGAGCCTATCACCTTCACAGATGCCGACTGTACCGACATCCGCTACCCTCATGATGACCCTCTCGTCATTTCTGCCCTCCTCTCTAATTACAAGGTCAGACGAGTTCTCATCGACAACGGCAATTCTTCAGACATCATCTTTCTCAACTGCTTTTGCCAGCTCAAAATTTGAGAGGAAAGTCTATCTCCTCTCCAAA